TTTTATCAAAAGTAGAATGAAGTTTGTAGTCAACCAAACTCTGACAATCGATTATAATATTGGTTAAATTTAGGATTATAATATTGATTAAATTTATTGATCGCTATTTTATTATTTCTATTTTAAAATAGAGAGATTTAATCATACTAATTTTAAAAATATAAAATTTCAATTTTTTTTTAAATTGACATCTATTAATCATTAAATTTTAATATTTATTCATTTATGAGTGATGTGATATTAATAATATGACCTAAGAAGATAAAAAACTAAAAAAAATAATACAATTAAAATTTATTAATAAAATAAATATCAATCATTCATTAAAATATATATAAACAAAGATTTTTTTATATATTATTTTTAATTACTGTATTTATATATTACTTCACTAACTATCATGTCACTTAAATAGTAATAGATTTCTTATATAATAACGTTAAAATTTAATGATCAACAAATATCAAATTAATAATAAAATCAAAATTATCTTTTTAAAAATAGAAAAATTAAATGTCTTAATTTTAAAATAAAAAGACCAAAATTACAGATTGACAAAAATAGAAGAACTAAAAGTATGATTTAACCAAAAATATACGACTTCGTGTCTAATGCAAAAATCAAATCTTATTCATTGATTAAGAAGTACTAGTGGTTTGACAATTGTGCCAATAACCTTTGGCATTAGAATATGATTTATAATTTTAAATAATATATCATTTGTACCATAACAAGTATTGTGTAAGAAGCAAAATTAAGTTTTACAATAAGTATTATTTTAACTATTTAATATAGTATTTATTACCTCTTTTTCGTTTATATCCTAATATACTATAAGAAATGTTATATATAGGGACATACAAAAACTGTCATTATAAGTATAATATATGTAGGTATATGTCTATTTGATATATAGTTATGCACAATTTTAGTGTTGATTTTAGATGAGATTTAACAACATATTTTGTATGTCACTATAGTCTATATTCATACTTTTTTAATAATATACCAACATATATGTAGTTATTGTGTGGGTAAATGTAATTTTTAGTGACATGTATAGTGTCACTATAGGGTGTGTGTCATTATATGACAATTTTGTTGTAGTGATAATTTTATTTATTAGGATATATTGTTGCGTTGCATTGTTTTTTGTGAAAAATTAATAATAAGATTGATTTTTTAAATTTATTATTTTTTTCATTATTTATTATCTTTTCTTAATCTTTATAAAAAAAAGACATACGAAAACATTTATTATAGTTTTTATGGAGTAGGGTTTGTCAATTTAAAAAATTGAAGTAAAGAGGAGTCAATATCATGGCTTTGAAAATCAAAAGAACCGGTTAATTAAACTAGTTTGGTCAGAAATTGATTCTTAACCACTTTGATTAGGAGGGGTGTTCATGGACCGGATTTTTGAAAAATTCAAATTAAATCAAATTGATTCGTTTTATAAAAGTGGATCGGTTAATTAATTTTTTTTTTTTAAGTGGATCGGTTTGATTTTTTTTTTTAAATATAGACCAATTTTTTTGAAATTGAAATGGTTGGTACAATGTAGTTATCCATTTTTTACTCATATATGGATCGATTTTTTAAAAAAAGTCAAACCAAACCAAATCGATTCACTTTGTAAAAATAGATCGGATAACTGAATTGATTTTGTAAAATGGATCGGTTTGAATTTTTTCTAAATGGATCAGATTTTTTAATACAGATCGGATCCATTCGGATCAATTTGAATTTTTTGCACATCTTTAAGTTTGATTGATCTATATAATAATTTTATATCAAACTGGTAGATTTGATGGAGTACCTGTCAAAATAATTTTTTGAAAATTTTAATTTAAAATATTTTTAATAAAATAGTATTTAATAAAAATTTATAAATTAGAATAACCTTTTTTAATACTTGTCTTATAAATATGATTTAATCATTTATGTTATTTTGTAATATTTAATATCTTTATTTTTATAATTTATATTATATTAATTTAATATTTTTTATTTTAAATGTAAACTTGTTAATATTAATAGATATTGTTATGTTTCATAAAAAATTAATTTAAATATTATATTATAAAATTTATAATAAATGTTAATAATTTATAAATAATGTTTCATTTTAATTTTTAGTGTTATAAAATTATAATATTATATTTATGAATCAAATACTTTTTAAACTTTTATATTTTTATTTATTTTATCACTACTAGAAAAATGTTATTTTTCTGTAAATTTTTCTACAAAAAAATATTTACAAATTTTTTTTGTGAATTTTCTTGCAATAATAATTTCACAATTTTTTTTTACGAATTTATTTGTGAAAATTAATTTTGTAGATATTTCTTACAAACTTTTTATGAAAAATAATCTACAAAAATATTGTGTAAATTTTGCTACAATTTAAATGATTATAAAAAAAATTTCCATGGTAAACATTTGTAGAAAGTGTTGTAAGAATCTTATTTTTTTTCTTGCATATTTTCTTGTAAAAATAAATTCATAAGTAATGTTTACTAAATGGTAGAAAAATTTTGTAGGTAACTTTTTCTGCCAATTTTAATCTGCAAGAAAAATGAAAATGTTTAAATTTATAAGTTTAATAATTAAAAGATTTTTAATTAAAAATGTTATTTTACTAAATTATTTATAAATATATCATTATAATTAATTTTAATTTTAACTAAATTAAATATATAAAATTTGATAAATATGATAAATTAATGATAATGAGTTTTAATTTAATGATAGTTTATAAAATTTTAAATTTAAAATTATTTACTTAATAAAATATTATTTTACTAAATTATTTATAAATATTTCATAAAAATTAATGTTAATTTAAAATATTAATAAATTAAATATTTATTTTAATTAAATGCATAAATTAATGATGATAAGTTTTAATTTAATGGTACTTTTTAAAATAAAGTTATTTAATAAAAAAACTATTTTTTTAGAATATTAAATATTTCAAGAGTTAAAATAATTTATAATAATATAATTTTGTTGTTCAATATAATGAATTAATCATTTTCTAAAGATATAATCTAATTAATATTTAAAAAAACTTCTAGTCTCACATGTACATCGATTGTAATAGAACAATTAAAGAGTATATAAGTTGGGGGCAACACTTATTGTACAAGTTGATTTGTATGGTTGAATGTTATACTTATAATTTACAATCTAAAAGTTTAAAAGGTTATGTATCACATGGTTGAGGCATGAAAGTAAATTTCTTAATGCTTCAAATGAATTCATTGTATTTTCCTGCAAAATTTCTTTTACAAAAATATTCGCAGGAAACTTTCCTGCAAATTTTTTTCGTAGGAAACTTTCTTGCAAATTTTAAAATTTGCAAAAATACATTATCAATGAAGGTATTACCTAGAGATAAAAAAAATTCGTAGGAATAACGTTTGTTGCAAATTTTTATGTAAATTCGCATAAAAAGTCGCATGTAATAAGAGAAATTCTAGTAGTGTACCTTTTAGACCCTATAGTTTAAAATATACATATTTAGTCCTTATACTTATCTTTTTCAATCTCTTTTAGAATTATTAATAGAATTTGTTGTAGTTTCTTTGATTTTTGTAAGAAATTTTCCTGCAGAATTTCTTGCAAAAATTTCCTGCGAATTTTTTCGTAGGGAACTTTCTTGCGAATTTTAAGTGTTTTTAAAAAGACATTATCAACGAAGTTATTACCTAGAGATAAAATTTTGCAAAAAAATTCGTATGAATAACGTTTGCTACAAATTTTTACGTAAATTCGCATGAAAAGTCGCATGTAATAAGAGAAATTCTAGTAGTGTACCTTTTAGTCCCTATAGTTTAAAATATACATATTTAGTCCTTATACTTATCTTTTTCAATCTCTTTTAATCTCTATAATTTAAGATAATTTTTTTAATTCCTATATTTGTAATTTGTTTTTAGTTCTTATCATTAATTTTTTTTTGTAACATTTTTTGTTTTGTATTTATGTAATATAAGTCTTCAATCTTGCAAAAGTAAGAAAAATAGTGTTTCAATAATGGATATTGCAGATGAGAGTACAAATGAGACATGAAGCGTCAAGAGACCTAATTTAAAGTAGCTTCAACAAAATGAATTTAACATTATCCATACAAAGTTAATACATTTGTTATGTCAATATAAAAAAATAATGTTACGAAAAAATATTAACAACAAAGATTAAAATAATTTTAAAAAAACTACATATATATAAAGAGTGAAAATATTTATCTTAAAGTATAAGGATTAAAAATAATTAAAAAAAATAACTATACTAAAATGATTTATTTTAAATTATAGAATTAAAAGATAAAGTAAATAAAATTATAAAAATTTAAATATATTTTAACTTATATTTATTTAATATTTTTATATTAAATAAAAATTATAAAGAGTAAAAATATTTATTTTAAACTATAAAGATTAAAAGTAATTAAAAAAAAAATAACTATTGCTAACCACCCTTTTAATCTCCACTTTTTAGTGAATTATTATACTCTTTAAAATATAAAAATAAAAATTTATATCACTTTTAAATAATTATTTATAATTTTTAATATTTTTTTGTGTGTAATTATTAGAAGCACGAAATATCTCGATATTTATAGCTTTATTAATATATAGGTTTATTAATGCGAATTTGATCATCTACATCACAACTTTAAAACGAAACGCACATTTAATTTTACTCAAAACAAAAAGAAAAAAGTCATGATAGTTACACATGAGAGAGATCAGTTTCTTTACAAGACAAAACCAAAAACAAAGCACAGTCTCTATATTCCCACTCTAACTCCATTCCTTTTCCTTCACTTCGGTGACTCATCGCATGTCGCTCCTTGTTTTCCTCTCTGTGGTTCCTCTCTTTCGTAACCTTTGTCATCTTCGATCTGTTTCTGTCTTTCTTGTTTTCTTTTCTTTGTTTTGGTCAGCGTCTGTCTTGTTTTCTCTGACTCTTATTGAAATTAATTTCCAGAAAACTATTTGCATGCACTTTTGAACCCGATCTATTCATCTGCTATATGCGTGTAATAAAGTAAGATTTTGCTTAGAAGTCAGATCTTGTGATAAATTGTTAGATCTGTTTGTTGTGCTATAATTTATTTAAATTTTGTTTTTTGTGGAAATTGATTGTAGAACTAGGTTAATTTCTTTGAGAAACAATGGAGGTTTTGCGGTCTCAGAGAAGGCCCAAGGAATCCGGGAGTGGTGAGGATCAAAGACAGGCCTTGTACTTAAACCTTCCAAACAATGGACAAAAAGATAAAATTCTTGTCAGAGAGACTAAATCTGAGAAGGTTTGCTCGAGAAATAATGAGACCAAGAAGCAGCTATATGTCCCAGGCACAGGACAACAAACTGTGCTTTCGTGGTTGGTTGATATGGGAACACTCCAGCCACGTGAGAGGGTTTATTATTTGGATCACAAAAGCAAAAAAGCATTACTTTGTGGTGATATCGTTGGAGGCCAAATTCTATGTGACTGCTGTTATCTAATTGTGTCGATTTCGGAGTTTGAAGCTCATTCAAAAAGCAAAATTTGTGATCCACTGAAGAATATATATGTGGGGGGAGGACGTTCTCTCTTACAATGCCTGGCACAAACATGGAGTATGCAAGATGAATATGCTTGTAATTTTTTTAATTTGGTATGTCTTGAGAGTGATGACCAAAATGATAATATCTGTTGCGATGGTTGCCCATCAACTTTCCATGAAAGGTGCTTGGATATACAAGTACGTACCTTCCTACATGATTATATAGCCTATAATTTTTGGGACCCTTTTAATTTCATTTCATATAATTTACTCTATTATATTTTTTTAATTGTGACTTTCTTACTAGATTATATATATATATAATTAATGGTTCTAAATAGCGGTTGTGTCATTGTGACTGTTATGATATGAATTATAATCATTGCGGTATAAAATTATTATATATTTATATTAAACATAAAAAAAATTATAATAATAAAAATTAATCAAAATCTTTTTTTTTAATTTTTTATTCTAAATTCTTTTTTTCTTTTACTAAAATATATTATGTTCCTCTTAACATTCTAATAAATTATTGTTACTTGTCTCCCTCCCTCTCTTAACATCCCATGTAATTTTTATAACACCTTTTTTAATTACATTTATATTTTTAACATTTGTACTCAAACCATTCTTTTAATCATATAAAAGGTTATAAAAAAATATGAGTAGAGATGAAATTTCTTATATAATAATCTATTGTCATTTACTGTCATGCTCTCTAAGTTGGCTAGGATAAGCTTGTTTTGACTGCTACATAGGGTAAGCTATCTAAATATTACCCAACATTCACCGGAAAAGGCAAATATGAATTTTAATGGAACATATTATTAATGATTAATCTAATTTTTGCTGGATACTATCTAAACTTTGAATTGGTTTGTGTCCAGCGACTTCTATGAAAATTTTATTGTACCGAAATCTAAAAGATCTGTTTTTCTTTTTTCCTTTTTTATTTTATTTTTTATCTTGCAGACCCTTCCAACAGGTGACTGGCAGTGTTGTCCTTGCAAATTTTGTGTAAAGCAAAAGGACAGCTCTGAGGGTTTTCACCAGTCTATGAACAATGCATGCCGTATATGCGGGCAAAGATGTATATTCTTTTATCAATTAGATACTCATTTATGAAGTTATTTTCTTTCCCCATCAAAGTTGGATACTAGCTTTTATCTTAATTTGTAGATCACCAGTCCTGTCTCAAGTCCATTGGAGCCAATACTGCTCATTCTAAACAGGAATTCTTATGTGGAAACAGTTGTAAAGAGGTATAATCTATTTATTTCATGTTTTTGAATCTTGATTGCTGTTTGTAAATTTATTATGTTGAAATAAGTTATTCTGTCATAGTAAGTTGCATGTGTTAATCTTCTGATTTTTGCAATCCTGGATATAATTTAAAAAGTTGTTTTGTTTGCAAGATTCATGTTTCAATATGATCGAAATTAATATTTTTACCTTTTCCAAATAGGATCTTCAATATCCTTTCCTCTTCAGGATTTCTCTCTTTGCTCGATTTAGACATGACTCACTCTTCTGAACTCGTTTTAGTTGAATAATCTATATTTTCTATGTTACGTATTTTTTTTATTTATTTTTTTATCTATCTTATTCAATATGAAGAGTATGAGCAAATAAAAATGAATAAAAGAATAAAGAATGCCTTGTATGAGATTAAATATAATTTATATTTTAGTTTATGAAAATCTGAAAAAGGAAGCTTGTTTTATGATAACTAACAAGAGATAGGGTTTAGACAATACATTCCAGCCTCACAAGCTTATAATTATTTACTGGCCATACATTTGTTGGCTGTTGATTTATAACTGAGTAGACCGACTTGGCAAATAGTTTGCAGTGAACTTACAGTTACTCATTAAATTTATGCTTGAAGTAGTGCATGTGTTATAATGTTGATAAGGAAAGTGTTCCCTTCCATTTGATTCAAGAGAAACATTGTATGCGAAACCATTAAAATAGAATTAGATGTCAATGGTTTATTATTGACAAGATTCACAATAAAATATTATATATGGTTGTTATTTAGTTCGTGTAATAGAATCCACCAACTGAAAAAAGGATCTGGTTGTAGTTATTATAAGGCCATGTTGATGGTAATCTAACTAACATGTATTTTGTTATTTTGTCTTCCTAGTTATATGAGAGACTTGAAAAACTTCTTGGTGTTAAATATCAAACAGAAGATGGGTTTTCTTGGTCTTTTATTTGTCGGACAGATTTTGATTCTAATGCCTCCCAGCTAGAACCCCGGATGGTTGAATGTAATTCCAAATTGGGTGTTGCATTGTCAATAATGAATGAGTGCTTCCTCCCATGCATAGTTAACAAAAGCAGGATTAATCTGATGCGCAGTGTTATATATAATTGTGGGTAAGGTCACTCAATTACCAGTATTTTTTATGTGCTTAATTTTTAATATTTTTCTTATGGCTGATCACATGGCAGGCTAAGTTGAACAAATAACTTCTTGTTGGTGTTATTATAATCTATAAGTATTATAATATGGATTTTATTTTATTTTTTTGCTTTTTTCTAATCCAAATTTTTATTAAGTAACATAGTTGTCTTCACTCCCATGGTTTATTTGACCCCATTTCTTTCCCTTTATCCTTTTATTTATCTTTACGTTTAATTACTCATGTAATGTCTATGCTTTAACCATTTCTAAATTTTGATTACAAGTAAAAACTATACGTTTTAGTGATTATATGATTACTTTTAGTTATATTTTGATCCTACCGTCCATTATATCTTAAAGCTGTCACCTAATGCTTCCATAAGATAGAAATTGGCGGTGTAAAATCACCACACAAATCTTTGGTCATTATTAAATCACTAGAAATTGGTCTAAAAAATTAATAAAAAATGAAAAAAAGGGGTAATTTTAATCCCCGTAAAAATTTGTGAAAGTATTAATTAACATGTAAGAGACAACTGATGACAGATATTAAAATGTAATTAAAAGTGATCAGGACTAAAATGTGTAATTTTTAATCATAGGAACTAAAATGTAAAAATAGTAAAAATATAGGGAATAAATGAGTAATTAAACCTTTTTTAATATTTATTTTTATAAAAGGCATCTGAATGTATTTAAATTTTAGAATATATTTCTAATTACTGTTGTTTAGAATCTATAGAAAATACAATATCTTAATTTAAGATAAAGACATAAATACAAGGTTTGAGGTATATTTGTGTTCTTAAGAGAATGGAGAAGGGATGCTTTCACTTACGGTTCTGATTTGTGGTTCTTGATAAGGAGAATGAAGAATAGCAAACTATCCCTTTGAGGGGAGGTTTAAATGTTGTACAAGGCATTACAATAAAAAAATGCATGGAGGAAAAGTTATTTTTAAATGTTTTTCATACTTTTGATTTTCACACTAATTTAAGTAATTAAGTTATGGGATCATAATTTCATGCATATGAAAATCTAATGTGTATATCGTGTGTGGTCAGGTCAAACATCAGTCGCCTGGATTTCAAGAGATTTGTTACTGCAATTTTACAGAGATATGATGAGATTATCAGTGTTGCATCTATCAGGTATAAATGTCTATTTAAACTTTAAATATGCTTATAAATTAATGCTTCCATACAAATGATATGAGATTAATAATAATTAGCATACATGTGCACAAAAAGAAAATTGGATATATATTTATCTTGTGAACCCCACAAATGATTAATTTATTTTCTTTGATGTTGGAGTTTTTTTTTTCCCGCTCTTTGTTATTGGATTATTTGAAGATAATGGATGGATACTTCATGTGACTAGATACTTGGAAAAAATAAAAGAGAGAAAAATGTAGATACAATAAATGATACAATGTTATAAGAAAAGGAAGAAAAAAAAATGTTAAAGTGTTTGTAGTATTGGGAAATCCAAAAGTATTACTCTTGGATTTTAAAAGATTTGGTTTAATATTTTTGGTTCTTATTTCAGTTTCCATCTGTTTGTAGTCAATATGCCTTTTCTTTCTTAATATGATTGCAAATAGATGGATTGTTGGACTCTTAAGACGGGAATTTGCCCATGCCAAAAAGCATTAATTCGGAGTACAAATTTAAATTAAAAAATATAATTCAAAGATTTTTCTCAATCAGTTTACACATTGGCATGTGCAGATACAAGGTTATGTGTTGTAAAAAAGTTAGATGTAATTTCTCGAATGCTTGTAGCATTACTCTAATTGAAATTGTTGTAGTAATGTCTATTATACAAAAGGTTATCTTAAATACTAATGTATATTACTAGATAGAAATTTCAATTCTAATAAATAAATAAAAACAAACTAAAAACAATTGTATCAAAATTTTATCTTATTTAAAATAATCGCTTGAAATTTGCAACAGGCAATCATTAAAAATGAGAGTACAAATATGTTTAAGAAAACTACTGCATAATAATTTTTTGGTGTATTCATTTCATTTTATTTATATTTGATAGCTTTAGTTAGTCTTCTTCATTTGTTTACGGTATTGTTTGTAGATTATTTGATATACTATATTGAGTATTTAAACTAAGGCTAAGTTTGGATAAAATTGTTTTAAAAAATTTATAATAGAAAAAATAGAAAAAGAAATCAAAATAATTTTTTTTATAAACTAAAATTAGTTTATGTATGAGTCAAAAATATAATTTTTAAAGAGATAATAAGAATTTTTTTTTTACAAAATTGATTTATAAATAAGTTAATTTTAACTCTAGAGAAACTTATTTAATTTTTTCTTTTTCTTTTTTCTCCTAGAAATGTATGCAGAGAAGTTTATCCAATTAAGCCGTTTGAATATGGTTAAAAACGATGTATATTATTTGCAAGGGGGCTAAGAATAGGATTATTAAAATTTCAAGCTTAAAACTCACTTGTAGCTTTGCTGTTTGTAATTTTAATTGGTTTCCGAATGCTTCTTCTCTTTTATTTAATGTTTAGGTATCATGTTTTAGAGTGTTTTGCAAAGCAGTAATATAGCTTGTTTACTGTTTTTAAAATTTCCTTTATGCTAAGTTACTTTCTTCAGTTGAAGATGAGGTTAAATATATATGTCATCATATCATAATAGTGGATTTTTTTTTTTTATGATAGCATGCTGGCAAATGTCTAATCCACCATAGTTTGTGAAGCTTCTATATGGGTAAATGAGAAGAGTGAAATGTATATGCTCATTATAAAATTTATTTATAGGATCCATGGGAACCAACTAGCTGAGATGCCATATATTGGGACCCGCTCGATTTACAGGCGACAAGGAATGTGCAGCAAACTTTTAAGCTCCATTGAATTGGTGAGTTCATAGCTAACGTTATCTGTCTCTATTGTTATATGTATATGCTCTATACAAGAAAAATTGTTCTCAAGTTCACAACATCAATGTGCAGCTATAAAAATGATTTTTGAGGTTTTTGCCATTTGTTTTGCAGCCACATTTATTGTACTCTTTTTTACAACTTTTTGCAATATTAAGAATCACAAGTAGGGATAGATTAAAAACCTTGTATCAGCAGATATTTGCAGATTTTATCCGCTATGTTTATAAATTATAAATGAATAATTAAATAAATATTATTTAATAATGAAACGGGAACAGAAAGGTATTAGTACTCGTAGGTATATATGCTTACTTAAAAAATATTAAAAATATTTTTAATTATATATAAAATAATTTAGTTTAATTTATTTTTATTATTAATGTATATGTCATAAATATTTATTTTAGTATAGATATGTTATAAAATTATATTTTAAAAAAAATTATCTTTAGTTTTATTTTATTTAAAAATCTACATTTTAACAAATATCTACAAATACTTATAAATACATGGGAATATATATAAAAATTCATAAATATTTATTAAATAAATACTCACATTAAATAGAGAGCGAGAAAGAATTACTATTCATCTCACCTCATTGTCATCCCTTATCTCAAGGATGTGAATACAAATTAAAACATCAATTTTTAAGGATGTGAGTACAAATTAAAATTTTAAAACATCATTTTGGTTTTGCTTCAAAATTAACTAATGTTTCTATGACTATTGTTGCTATTTGCCAGGCACTCAGCTTTCTAGAAGTCGAGTTATTGGTCATACCTGTTGTCTCAACAGTAAAAAATACGTGGATTGATGCTTTTGGGTTTGAGCCACTTGATTTGAGAAGCAAGACAATAATAAAGGGCATGAATTTGTTGGTATTCCCTAACACAGAAATATTGCAGAAAAAGATACCAAAGCGTTATTTTTCCATTAATTTTACTCCTACACAAGGTATGTTTAATTTGGTATAGACACTGCATAGGTTCTTTCTGATTAGTGGTTGTGTATTCTGTACTATTTGATGAAATGCTTGTATTGTATGAGATTTGTACATGTATTTTGTGTAGTAGTATAATATGGATGAGGCATTTAATAATATAGATACTTTCTTTTTATAAAGAAAAAGATAGATACTTTCTGTGAAACAATTGGGATGAATATTTGGTTTCATACAGTACTATCTGGCACCAGGTGCCTTACTTAGTGCAATTACAAGGCAAACTGAGTTTTGAAGGATATCAAATCATAACATATATAATTATACCGTTATTTTCTCCCCCATGCTTAATCTCTCAAAACTCTATTCTCACAATTATTCTTCGCTAGAGAACACTACTGCCTTTCTTCTTCAGTGACGCACCTAACACTAGTGAGAGTTTCTCTTCCTTAGTTCTTCCCTCTTCCCATCTTCTCGTCACTATTGCACCCTTCTCTCTTCTGTCCCCCTTTTCACTAATCTGAACGTTCTCTCTATAGATATGTTTGTTCTCTTATTTTGATATGCCATGTTGAACTCATATGCCGACATCATTCACCCCCTCTCCATACACCCTAACTATTCACCATTGATTGTGCTCGTTTTTTCAATCATTCTCGATATGGAATTGTCTCAACAATAGTGGTTACAAGTGCTTTTTATCTCTCTCTCTCTCTCGATCTAGAATGTGTGTTGAACTATCTGCTTTGTTGTAGGGTTTTATTTTGAACATTGAGTGGGAATTGTTGAAGGTTCTTTTTTAACATTAAATGCAAATTAAGTTAGGAAACTTGAAGATGGAGATGACAAATTGTGGCAACATTAGTGTGTCAATGCTCTCTAAGTATTCTAATAACTAATTAGGCAATTTGACTAACTTTGTGGAGTGGTTGCTCTCTGAATTGTGACAACATTGTGAATATTGTTTTAGAGAGAAGAGTAGCAAAAGCTTCTCTTTTGAATGTGGATTGTTTGGTAGGGATTGGTGGGGAAGAAGGAAAGAGATGGGGGGGAGGAATTGAGGAGGAAGGAAAATATGAAGCTTGTGATGGGAATATTGTGACTATAGAGATTCCACACTAGTGCAAAAGATGTTTTTTACGTCGGTTATTTTAAACTTTTTACGTTAGAAAAGCTTTCGACGTAAAAGCGAGAGACGTAAATTTACGTCAGCGTTCTGGACCGACGTAAATTTACGTCGGAGATGGGCAAACACCGACGTAAAAAGTTGCAAGAACCCAAAAAAAAATTATGCTGGAACGGGCCGTTCTGCAAGGAGAACGGCCCGTTCTGCAAGAAGAACGGCCCGTTCTGCAAGTAGAACGGCCCGTTCTCCTTGCAAAACGGCCCGTCCTACTGAGAATCGTGTCCCTAACTTGAACGTATTCAAGATCCAGAAAGAACGCTCTCCTGAGAGTCGTGTCATACTCTGCTCCTGTCTGCAGCCAAAGATAAACATTAGGATACCATGTAATTTGGTGAATAAAGAAAATAGAAAAGCATGGAGCGCTCCCAACCATGACGTGCGAAGCATGGAGAACGGGAAGGAAATCTGGTGAAGAACGGGAAGAATGGAGAGGCGCGAGAAGAATGCATATGCTATGTGTTGGTTATTGATCTCGGACACAACTAATCTTCAAATTTGAGAAGAATGTATTTTTACGGGAAGTGAAGAGAAGAATGGAGAGGCGCGAGAAGAATGGAGAGGCGCTACATTAAATAGATTCAAAAAATTATTTTACGTCGGAGGAGAAAGGATCAGACGTAAATTCAAAAATCCACGTCGGTTGTAGCTGAGGTCCGACGTAGATTTTTGAATTTACGTCGGACCCTTTCTCCCCAGACGTAAAAAAATTTGCATTATTTACAAAAATACTACCGCGTCGTTTTTACGTCAGGTTTGCTGTGGTCCGACGTAAAAATACAGACGTAAAAAGTCTCTTTTGTACTAGTGCCAATTGTAAAGACAAGTGACAACATGGATGTACAAGTGGAGCACTTCATGGTTAAGGGTGTGATTTTGCTGGCGTTGGTTTTGTATGTGGCAAAATTGAGAATCATCCTTAGTGGTATGGCTAGGTTTGTGATTCATTTGATGCATCACATATTGCATTGAAGCTTAAACAAAAGGATAGACTTCTAGTTGCCTAATTTGGGAATGGAACCTTTGCTTGGTGCCTTCTATCACAGTTAAGCCTTTTGAGGAAAACTTTGATGTTATGGTTAAACAGAGTAGCTCCATTGCTTTTGCTAATAATTTGTGCAAGAAACTGTAAATAAGGTTGAAAGGGGTTTGTGAGTGTGAAGTTGAGTCACCCATTTGCTACTAAGAAAACTAGTTCTAATTTACTCTCCCATTGGAACAAAAATTTTGGCATTAAGAAAGGAGTTATATTGTGCCTGAAAATGTATAATAGAGTTACTTTTAGATGTTTTAATTGAACCACCATATGCAATTACTTTCTAATATTAAAAAGATTGCAAAAATTATTGATTATTCTAGTACTTTGGAGTTTGAGATGCTAAAGGCTCATCTTTCTACATTTTATCTTATAAAAAGGGGTTATAAATTACCTAACTATTAGGATCCCCAATCAAAACTCCTGGAGTTGAAGATGGTTTAATGGATGAAATTGTTGGAGATCACGGTAAAATTATTATGGAAGCAATTGCCCAAGGGCCATTTGAAGTAGACTGCTATAACTTGCGAACAAGCCCAAAATTGGATGAATTTGGTCATGTTATGGGGATTTTAGGAAACATGTTGAACCATAGAAGAAAGCAAAAAAAGCATTGCTAAAATTATGGGGAAGGACAAAGAAGTTCATTTAAAATATAACTAGTTATAAATTTGTGATTCTCATATTCCCTAGAGATAACATAATATCTCACTTAAACCACAATATTTTATTGGTGTAAGGTTTTATAAAGTTGCCTTTGTAATGTAAATTTTAGTATTGTAAACTATATTTTGGCATAAGTATGAAATTATATAAACTGGTTCAAATGATGCACTTTCGATCAATTTTAAGAGTTTAGATATATAATTTGATTTATCTATCCAAAAATAACTTAGAAATTATATTTTCAAACTCTCTTAAAATTGATCTAAAGTTCATTATTTGTAATACAAACAATAGGTTCATAACTATGTTATACCATAGTCTACAACACTAAAATTTGCATTACAAAGGCCACTTCACCAACCCTTACATTGTGGATTAAGTGAGATATTGTATTATCATCATAAAAGAATCACAAATTTACAACTAGTTACTTTTTGAATGAATATCTTTGTCCTCCCCCATAATTTCGGCAATGCTTTTCTTCTTTCATTTATGGTTTGATATGTTTCCTGAAACCCCCTTAACATGACTTGGTTCATATTTTGGGCTAGCTACCAAGTTATAAAAGTCATCTTCAAATGACTATCCGACTGGTGCTTCCACGGGACGTTTATCGTGACATCCTACAATCCATTAGACAATCTTTGACTTCAGGAATCAAATGGGGATCTATATATAGTTAGATAACTTATAACCCCTTTTTGCAAGATAAAATACACAAAGCTGAACCTTTAATATCTCAAGCTCCAAAGATAAAATACACCTAGCTGGGAGGTGAAAGCTTAATAAATGCATTCCCTCGGATCTATATCAACTCTAACCAAAAACATAATAAATTGGCAGACATGGACAACTGGGTAGAAAATGAGTGGAAGTGGCAGTTCTATTGGAGGAGGACTTGGCTTCAAAGAGACCAAATACAGTGGTCTACCTTCCAGCATCTACTATCACAAGTAAACCTAGTAAAACAAGATCAAGACAAGTGGGTGTGGTTGGCAAATAGCACGGGGGATTTTTCAGTTCATTCTGCATATACTGCCTTTCATAATTTACAACATATTAGCCAAACAAATAGCGTATGTGGAGGGCTTTGGCAACTGGGAATACCACCGACAGCAGCAGTTTTAATGTGGAGATTGGTTCAAAACGCCCTACCAACAGTAGAAAATTTGCAGTCAAGAGGTGTTATATTAAGCGACTCCCAAGGGCGTTGTGCTTTTTGTAATGAAGTACAAGAAACTTCCTCTCACTTGTTCTTTTGTTGTCGGATTACCAATAAAGTATGGCACCATTGTTGGTCTTGGATCTCAATATCAACTGTTCTCCATCAATCAACGCTTGAAAATGTATGTCAGTACCCATATCTCTGTCTTACCCAGCATGAAAGGTCGAAGTGGGATATTATAAGGAGTGTTGTAATATGGTGCATATGGCGTTGTAGGAACAACAAAATCTTCAGAGGGGAAAATGTAGACGTGGAGAGGTTGAAAAATAACATTGATCACATGGTTTGGTCATGGCTAAAGATCAACAACGAACTATTCTGCTATAGTTTTGATCAATGGATGGCTAGCCCAGCTGCATGTCTTAAGGCTTGAATTGACTTCTTGTAAGGTTCGGTTTTAGTTGGTAATATCACATGATAGAGGTGATCATATATAAGCATTTATTTATGTATTATTGTGTATTTTTGTATTACATTCTACTCGTATATGAGTTTTTGGTACCCTTGGTACCTTTATAATATATATCTATCTTTGCTGATCAAAAAAAAAAAATCAGTGATTTTTGCAATCTTTTTTTCAAAAAAGAAAGTAACTTTTTTGAAACATCTAAAAGTCATTGTATGTCACATTTAGGCACAATAACTCCTTATTCCTTGATGCCAAAATTTTTTGCCAATGGAAAAGTAAATTCATAACTAGTTTTATTTACAGCAAATGGATGACTCAACTTCATATTCACAAGCCTTCCAACCTCAATTGTAGCATCTTCAATGACATTAATTAGAAAAAGTGGGGGAGCTACTCTTTTAATTTAATTAACCATATCACCAGAGTTCTCCTTAAAAAGCTTTAATAGTGATGGATGGCACCAAAGCAAAGGTTCCATTCCAAAAGTAGGCAACCAATAGTCTATATATCCTTTTATTTACGCTTCAATCCAATGAGTGTTGCATCATACGGATCATAAACCCGACCAAGCCACCAA